AGCTAGTCGAGATATGACGATCGGTATACTTAAAGGGGGGTCTGGGACCAATATTTCGCGTCGTAATAATAAAAATATTCTTTAAAAAATCCACGCCTCATAAAGACCCTGAAAAATATTATTTACAAATTCCAAGCCTCATATAGAAAAAATATTCTTTAAAAAATCCACGCCCTATATGGACCCTGAAAAATATTTTTTAAAAATCTCATATGGACCCAGGAAAAATATTCTTTAAAAAATCCACGCCCTATATGGACCCTGAAAAAATTTTTTTAAAAATCTCATATGGACCCAGGAAAAATATCCTTTAAAAAATCCACGCCTCATATGGACCCTGAAAAATATTTTTTAAAAATCGCATATGGATCCGGGATAATATTCTTTAAAAAAATCCACGCCTCATATGGACCCTGAAAAATATTTTTTAAAAATCTCATATGGACCCGGGAAAAATATTCTTTACAAAAATCCACGCCTCGAATGAACCCTGAAAAATATTATGTAAAAAATCCTCAGCTCAGCTGGAGCCAGAAAAAAAATATCCCTTAAAAAATGCACGCCTCATATGGAACCTGAATAAATATTCTTTAAAAAATCCACGCCTTATATAGACCCTGAAAAATATTCTTTAAAAATGTAGGGCTCATATAGACCCTGGAAAAATATTCTTTAAAAATTCCACGCATCCTGAATAATATTCTTCAAAGAAGCATCCCCCCTCTTGTGGTGTACCCTGAAAAAAATATTCATTAAAAACGCCACACCTTGAGACGACCCCTGATTAATATTGTTTAAAGAAGTCACGTCTCTTGATTGTCTTCTGTCGATCTTTTGCTATTAAGGCGGTTGGTCCTTTTAATAATATTATTTAAAAATTCTCATCATGCATATTGTATGCCGAATATTTCGATTTCATTGACATGAAAATAAACTTAGCATTTTCATATGAATTTTTTATCGGCCATCGATTTTTGTATATTTTTTATTTTAGTTTACTCCCACAATTTAACCTGTAGTCGTCGAATAAAACTCACATAAACTCCACGCATATGATATTTGGGTGGAAATCGTTAAAGAAATCCGACAACAACAACAAAAAAAACACGACCATTAACATTTTCTTTATCTGCAGTATAAATTTTAATGTATGACCATAAATTTTTATTTAATAACAATCATAAAAAAATATTAAATATTTTATGCATGTGGATGTATGGATATTGTGGTGCACAATGCTCAAGGACATCATCGGCACTAAATGAGGATGAATAAGCAGCAGCACACAAATAAAAAAAAAACTCCTGCATATGTGTTCCATAATATTTCTATATGACCACACCATATTCAGCAGGTATATATGTGATGCCGCTGCTGCTCTTCTAGCCTCCATCCACTTTAATGTATTTTTAATGCATTTACATTTTGCTTCCTGTTTTATGTACATCCTGGATAGCCCGGGTAACGATTGATTGGTTCAGTGTGCCTTGGTCATACGGGTCAGAGGGCAGGAGGAGGCATGTCATGCACACAAATACACAGAATTCTATTGATTTATTTACAACCATCGTTGTGGTCGATTGAGTCCATCAGCTATCGGAGGAAAAAAATTTGCAATTTTGTTTTATTTTGTGTTTTCGTGTAAATAAATATTTACAGTCTAGGTATGGACCACTCCTCTTCCAACCACCCAAAAATCTATTCGGAAAATTGTTATATACAAATTTTAATGGTTGGATTTATTGTGGGGAATAATTTTGGGAATTTTAGAGAAGTTTAACTGAATTCGCAATAAAATTCAATTGTAAATTGAGAACTACGAAAACTTGCGATGTTATGGTAGAACACTAATATAAAAATTATTAGGAATAGACATAAAAATAAAGTCTTTATAAATATATTTAAAAAATAGAAATATTAAAAAAATATCCACAAAAAATATTTTTAAATAATCCACGCCTTATATAAAACCTAAAAAAATTATAGTTGTATCCAAACTATTATTTTATAATTCTTCGCTTCTGAAACTGATATTCATTTCGAATATATAATGAAATAACTCATATGTGAAACCATTACCATTTCCACTGGCATGTTCTCAAAATTTCTCAAATATGCATTTCATGTGAATATTCATATGATAACAACTAAAATGTCAATAAGCCGGTAATTAGAAAACTTTTCCAGCAATCCTCCCACCCCCAAATTCATAGTAATCCATAATGAAACATTTTGCATGAAAATTTCATCGGAATATGTGTCAGTGCCTTAATCCGACTGAAACGAATAATTTATTTGCTCGAAGTTATCGCTTAAATATGTCCAAATTAGTCCCAAATGCATTTTCAATGATGTTGTTATTATTGTCGATGATGTTGTCGTTGTTGTTGTTAATATCATTGTTGTAGTTGTTATTCCGAATTCAACATAAAATCGAACTTAATACATTAAGTACAACAGAGTACATATTGTGATACACACACACACACCTACATACATATATAGGATGCTGTTCATGTATTCATTGATGCAATTCGAAACTTAATGAAGTATTTGTAATTGCCAATGCACAATTACAACACATGACAATTGCCTGACGTTGTTCCTTGCCCTCAGAACAAGGATGCATTATCTGATTACAGTTGCAGGACAGATGTGACATGAGCTCGAGGTTTGACAATTGAGAATATGAAATTTTGTTCTGCTTCTGGAATTACTGGTTTTATAGCAAAAGGAAAGGATTCATTTTTCAAGAACCACAAACGTGATTTTTTAAAAATATTTTTCAGGGCCTATATGAAAATAGTTTTTAGGGTCCATATGAGGCGTGGATTTTTTAAAGATTATTTTTTCAGGGTCCATATGAGGCGTGGATTTTTTAAAGATTACTTTTTCGGGGTCCATATGAGGCGTGGATTTTTTAAAGATTATTTTTTCAGGATCCATATGAGGCGTGGATTTTTTAAAGATTATTTTTTCAGGGTCCATATGAGGCGTGGATTTTTTAAAGAATAGTTTTTAGGGTCCATATGAGGCGTGGATTTTTTAAAGAATAGTTTTTAGGGTCCATATGAGGCGTGGATTTTTTTAAGATAAATTTTTCCGGGTCCATATGAGGCATGGATTTTTCAAAGAATATTTTTTTAAAGGGTCCATATGAGGCGTGCATTTTTTAAGATTATTTTTTCAGGGTCCATATGAGGCGTGGATTTTTCAAAGATTATTTTTTCAGGGTCCATATGAGGCGTGGATTTTTTAAAGATTATTTTTTCAGGGTCCATATGAGGCGTGGATTTTTTAATGATTATTTTTTCAGGGTCCATATGAGGCGTGGATTTTTTAAAGATTATTTTTTCAGAGTCCATATGAGGCGTGGATTTTTTAAAGATTATTTTTTCAGGGTCCATATGAGGCGTGGATTTTTTAATGATTATTTTTTCAGGGTCCATATGAGGCGTGGATTTTTTAAAGATTATTTTTTCAGGGTCCATATGAGGCGTGGATTTTTTAAAGATTATTTTTTCAGGGTCCATATGAGGTGTGGATTTTTTAAAGGTTATTTTTTCAGGGTCCATATGAGGCGTGGATTTTTTAAAGATTACTTTTTCAGGGTCCATATGAGGCGTGGATTTTTTAAAGATTATTTTTTCAGGGTCCATATGAGGCGTGGATTTCAGGGAATATGTTTTCAGGGTTTGTATTAGGCGAGGATTTTTCAGAGAATATGTTTTCAGGGTTTGTATTAGGCGAGGATTTTTCAGAGAATATGTTTTCAGTCTCTGTATGAGATGTAGATTTAAAAAAAAAAAATTGTCCGCATTCTAATTTTTTAAAGAATATTTTTTTCGACATTTTTATTTGTTTAAAGAATATGTTTTTTGTAGTGACCAGAAGACCTACCCCCTTTAATATTTTTATTAGGTGTTAGGTTGAGATAATCTCCCACAGTTTTTTTCTTTAATCCTCAAGTAAATATTTGTTTTCCTTTTTGGCTAATTTGAAAAAAAGGGTTCACAAGGCCATAATCGCCGCATTTCTTCAGACATAATGTCAATAAAACTTATTGCAATTCTTCTTGACGATAAAACAGAAAAATTAACATTTTATTTCTGTTTTCTTTTTTTATTTCCATTTCAGCATTATTATTGTCCTTCCTAGAATTGAACACACAAACAGACAGACAAACACAAATGAAAATGGTGGATCCCAAAGTGCTCATATCTACAACAAGAAAGTATTGATATTGAAAGACCAGTAACCCAGAAACAACAACAACCACAGAAGCAAACACACATAAAAATGAGTACAAATAAATGAAAAGTGGTGAAAAGACTTCAATTCAAAATAAAAAAATCATCATCATTTTGGAATTGGCAACAGCAGCAGGGACTGGACTCAACCTTTACCTAAAGAAAAACTGAAGAAGAACCATAAACGAAGCAGTTTCTTTTATGGGACAAACATGAAAAGCCTTTATAATGAAATGAACGTTTTGCGCCTCGGTTGACAGCAGCAACACGACGACGACCAACGACCAAAAAAGGGTTATTTGTCCCCGTTTATGTTTCACTTTTCACGGATAACACCAAAGAGAAAAGTAGACAAACGACCATCCCGCCTCCCCATCATCAGCATCAACATTGTTCGGCAGACGGCCTCCTGAGCTGTTCATTGATGAGAAGAAGCCTCAACGACAACAGCCATCAAACTTTAGATTGACATAAGAAAGTCGTCGACAGAACAGCAGAAAAAAAATCATTTTTTTATTTAATGCCCTGGCAAACACCAGGATCAATCTAAAAAAATCGAAGGAGTAACCAAAAAAGAGAAAAACAGAAGAATACATTTCCATCATACGTGGCCCACAGGACCATATTTAATATTCACTTGTCCGTGTGTGTGAGTTTGTGTGACAGACACACAATCAACGAGACACGAAACAATAACAGCATCCAACCCCAACTTCGTAGACCACCACCAACAACGTTGCCATCATCATCATGGCAGTGCCCATAGATGAGGGCGTCTTAAGTGCCCTCAGGGGTATTACCAGTCGCAATACCCGACTACCCAAACCGTTGCTAATAAAAGTTTATGTCTCCAGTTTGAAACAAGGTAAGCGAAATGAACAAATATTTTTTCAAGGAATATTTTAAAAGAATTATTTTTTCGGGACCTCTATGAGCCTATATAAGGCGTGGATTTATTAAAGAATATTTTGTCAATAAACTATAAGAAGCATGGATTTTTTAAGGAATATATTTTCAGGGCCTATATGGGGTGTGGATTTTTTTAACAATATTACTTCGGGGCCTATCTGAGGCGTGGAATATTTTGTCAACGGTCTATAAGAGGCGTGGAATATATTTTCAGAGCCTATCTGAGTCGTAGATTTTTTAAAGAATACTTTTCGGGGCTTATATGAGGAGTGGATTTTTTAGAGAATATTTTTTCGGGGCCTTGATGAAACTTATATTCTTTATTGAAGAGCTGAATTTAGTTTTCTTCGAAGAACAGTTCGAGGTATCCTTCCTCGTAGAAGAGCTCTAGCTTTATTTCCTTGTGATTCTCACAAAAGAGGCCAAATTCCTCTTCATCTTGGAAGAAGTTAAGGTTTCCTTTTCATATATGGCCTTCTTTTTCATAGAAGAGCACAAGGTATTCTTCTTCATAGGGTTCGTGGAGTTCTTCCTCATAGAAGGGATCACAAACATCGTCCACATTAAGACAGTTTTCCTCATAGAAGAGCTTATGGCCTTCTTCCTCATAAAAGACCTGAAGATCTTCTTCTTCTTCTTCATAGAACAGCTGAAAGTTGTCTTCTGTCTCATATAAGAACTGAATGTCAAGTGAAGAGCTCAGAAGTCTTCTTCCTCATTAAAGGGCTCAAAGTCTTCCTCCCTTCTATGAGTTCAAGACCTTCTTTATAGAAGAGCTGTACATCTCTTCATAGAAAATCTGAATGACTTCCCATTTAAGACCAACATGTGTACTCTATAGAAGAACAAAATATTTGTTCGAACATAATCAGAAATTATTATCGATAGGAGATCATCATAGAGGAGCTAAAGGTCGTTTTTTTTCCCATAGAAGAACTGAAACTCTTCTTCATCATAGAAGAGCTCAATGAATTTCTCCCAAAAACCAACCTTAATACCTTCCTTATAGAAGAGGTCAAAATTCTCTTCGTAGAAAAAGTGAATGGGTTCTCTACGGGATAGCAGAATGTGTTCTTTATAGAAGAACAACATGTTTGTTAGATAAATAACCAAAAATTCAGAAGGTCTCTTGTAACTCATCTTCTCCGTGTAAGAGAACAGAAGATCTCCCAGAATCATTGTGACACCCAAAAGATTACAAAGTATTCACCAAAGACTTCTTATCCATAGATTTTTTGAAGTATATTTTTTCGGGGAAGCCGAGATTTTTTAAAAATATTTTTTCAGGCGTGGATTTTTTAAAGACTATTTTCTTTCGAGCCTATATGAGGCCGAAATTTTTTTAGAAATATTTTTCAGGCGTGGATTTTTTATTTTTTTCGGGGTCTATATGAGGCCGAGATTTTTTAATAAATATTTTTTTTATGAACCATCAAGGCGAAGATTTTTTAAATAATATTTTTCCGGAAACTATCAAGGCATAGATTTTTTAAAGAATATTTTTCCAGGAACTATCAAGGCGTAGATTTTTTAAAGAATATTTTCTAAGTTTTCTTAGTGTTTTCTATATCGATTTCTGATTCATTTATAGGCATCCGGAATCTTCTAGATCCGCAATAGACATTAGAGAAGACCAAAGTCGGTCCATATTCTTCCCATAATGTTGAACATTAATATTAAAATTATTTTCTTTGTTTTCTTTGTTACAGAATTTTGCCAGGAACGACGAATGCTATTGGAGCTCGTCGGCCCCGAACTGCAGTCCATGTACGATGATCGACAAATCGAAATAGAATTTGTCGATATGCATTTTGGTACCGGTTCGCTGGATATCACACAAGTCGAAAAGGATCCATACATTTTAGAGGATTATTTACACGAGATTGAGACATGCCATCAGAATTCGAAAAGTGTCTTCTTTTTGGTAAGTTGAGGAATAAAAAAATACATTTTCAAAACAAACAAAAGAAAATACCTCAGTTGAGAAACCCTCATTTAAAACTTATTTCTTTCATATTCCAAAAACTGAATTAGTTTTCTTATTTTTTCTTCAAGAATGTCCCTAAGTAGTCCCATGCAAAATGGCTACTTAGGACGGTCATAGCATTAGCTATTCATAAAAATTACAACAATTTCTTGTTTTATTAAATTTTCTAGAGCAAATTTTATAGGAATGTTTTTTATTCTTCTTCTACTACTTTTCTACTACTACAATATAATTACATGCATAATTATTACATCAATATTCGTTGTTTTTCTTCCCTCATCTCCTCCCGCATTTTTTCGCCCACATTTATGCGCAATTGATGTGCTGCCTATCTTTCTGTCTGTCTGCCTACCCGACTGGCTCTTGGTCTTTGGGGATCCCCATCATCTACACGACTATTGTTTCCAACGAAATTATCATTAATTAGGCTTTAATAGGCGACAGCATTGGTCGGATGCCATTACCCACCCACTTGGCGAAGGAGATCTACGATAGCATTGCGACAGATGGCACTTTAACACACACAGAGCGTCAATTATTTGTCAAGTGGTATTCAGCGGCGACGGCTGTAGCACCAGAGGACTCCACGGCGACTGAAACGTCGGCAGCGTTCAAAGGCATTCAATATCAACTTAAACTGGACTATCGGTAAGTCGAACTGGATCAGTGTGAAATATGTGTATGAATGCTTGTAGTTGATATATTGTTTATATGCTGGAGATTGATGATGATGCTGGCATTAGGGGGGAGATAAATATTGAATACCGAAAACCGTTTTGATGTTCCGCGAAATTAGAAGGAGGGGGACTAAAAATTATCTCGTTTTACTCAATAAAGAATAAATTTTCAAGATCCATAAGCGTGGATTTGGTAAAGAATATTTTTTAAAGGACCAGAATAGGCGTGAATTTGGTAGAGAATATTTTTTCAAGAAATAGAAGAGGCGTGAATGTGGTAAAGAATATTTTTTCAAGGACTAGAGGAGGCGTGGATTTGGTAAAGAATATTTTTTCAAGGGCTAGAGGAGGCGTGGATTAGGTAGAGGATATTTTTCATGGACTAATATCTTTCAAGGACTAAAGGAGGCGTGGATTAGGTGAAGGATATTTTTTCAAGGACTAATATTTTTCAAGGACTAGAGGAGGCGTGGATTAGGTAAAGGATATTTTTTCAAGGACTAGAGGAGGCGTGAATTAGGTAAAGGATATTTTTTCAAGGACTAGAGGAAGCGTGAATTAGATAAAGGATATTTTTTCAAGGACTAGATGAGGCGTGAATTAGGTAAAGAATCTTTTTTCAAGGAATAGAGGAGGCGTGCTTTCCTTAAAAATCCACGCCTATTTTCATATTGGTTCTTGTAGAAATATTTTTTAAAAAATCTACGCCTATTGTTCTATTGGTCCTTGTAGATTTTTTTTTAATTCCACGCCTACTGCCCATTTGGCCCTTGTATTACCCTTGTGTTGCCCTGTCAGTCCTTTTAGAAATATCCTTTAAACATCCACTCATATTGCCCTGATGATCCTCATGGAAATACTCTTCAAAAAACACGCCTATTGTTCTACTGGTCCTTGTAGAAATATTTTTTTAAAAATCCACGCCTACTGCCCTATCCCTTGTATTCCTTGTGTTGTCCTGCCGGTCCTAGTAGAAATATTCTTAAAAAAAATCCATGCCTATTGTCCTGCTGATCCTTGTAGAAATATTCTTTAAAAAATCCTACACATTTTGTCCTGATGATTCTTTGATAAATATTCTTAAAAAAAGTTGCGCATATTGTCCTGCTGGTCCTTGTAGAAATATTCTTTCAAGAATACACGCCTATTGTCCTGCTGGTCCTTGTAGAAATATTCTTTCAAGAATACACGCCTATTGTCCTGCTGGTCCTTGTAGACATATTCTTTAAAAACCCCACGCATTTTGTCCTGATGATGCGTATAGAAATATTTTTTAAAAATCCACGCCTATTGTCCTGATGATCAGTATAGAAATATTCTTTAAAAATCCAAACCTATTGTCCTGATGATCCGTATAGAAATATTTTTTTAAAAATCCACGCCTATTGTCCTGATGATCAGTATAGAAATATTCTTTAAAAATCCAAACCTATTGTCCTGATGATCCGTATAGAAATATTTTTTTAAAAATCCACGCCTATTGTCCTGATGATCAGTATAGAAATATTCTTTAAAAATCCACACCTATTGTCCTGATGATCCGTATAGATATATTCTTTAAACAATCCACGCCTATTGTCCTGCTGGTCCTTGTAGAAATATTATTTAAAAAATCCACGCCTATTGCCCTGTAGGATCTTCATTTCCAAAATTTAAGGCTATATTTAAAAATTCTGATATCAATTATTCCTCCTTAAGGGAACCCCCCCCATTCTCGATTTTTTATTTTTAAGATTTTAAATGGGCTGGTAAATGAATACCAATGCTTGTTAAGGTTTGTAACTTGGCACATATATATTTGAAGATTTAAAAAGGAAGAAAAATAATTTACAAAAATTTGTTGTTGTTGTTTTGTTGTTGTTTTTTGGGTGCAAAGAAAAGTCCACATTTTCGATGGCGGGCATGATAACTCCTCACTGGAACATCGGAATCCGAAAATTCCAACTGTGTTAGAAAGAGGACATGTCTGGCTCTCGTATGAACTAGGATTATTGACTTCGCTCTAAAATTAACAAAATGGTGGACCTTTGAAAAATTTTTTTTGGAAACTCGCCGATTTTTTACCAAAAACCATGTTAAAAAATAAGGAAGATCTTCACCGATTGGCTTTATCCTAGTTCATACGAGAGCTATACACTCTCAGAGAAACGATGCAAAATTTGGAACCGATTGGATTATTGGTTTTTGAGTTATCGTGCCCGCCATTCACAAAAAAATGTATAGAGTAAAACGCGTTTAAAGTTTGAGAAGCCCTTTAGCCGTCACTTAATGTTGATACAATAAATCGGATATATCTTCAAGACTTCTTGAGATTTTCACTTGAAATTTTGTAGAGACATTCCTTAATCAGTGTAGATTCGAATTATATCAACAAAAATTTTGACACCGAGAATGGGGGGGGTCCCCTTAAATTGGCCTTTCGCACAAGTTTCCTTAATAATTTGTCGGTCACAGCGAAAATGTCTTTTTCCCCTGACGTTGCCATCATCACCATTGGTACTGTGGTTTCTTTGTTTTATTTGGTGGGTATTCTCTGGATATTTTGTGTCTCATCTTGTTCGGGTACTTCGGTATGGTATCAATGTTAGGTAGGTATGTATGTCTTCCTAAGTTATTCTTTTGCCGGAACACAAGTAAATATTTTTGGTTTTCCACGGTAATTCGTTGCTGTGGCAACACGCTCTCTCTCGTGCTTGGTAAACCTGTTCAGCAACAGCACTTTTGTGTTAAGTACTTTGGAAAAACCACCACTTCAGCATGCATTAAGAAACAGCAAAAAATCCGCAGAAGTGTTCTTTTCCCAAGGAGGAGGGTGGAGGGCCATGGGAAAATTGTTTCATAAATTTCTGATGTGCTGCTGCTGCTGACCTTGCAGAACAATGTAAGAGGTGGGAGGAAGAACAAATTTAAAAATAAATTTAAAACGCTTAACGCTTTAAATTATTTAGGTATTCTAGGCACCGTCCTGGTCGTCATAACTATCGTCATAACGGCCATAAAGCGTCTTAATAATGAAATTTCAATTTTCTGGTAATTTATTTATTTAAAAGGCCATTTGACGTTCACACAAATCGGACAATTTGTGTCAATTTGTTGAATATTAATTTGCCATTAGGCATGATTGTTTTTCTGGCTGGGCAGGGGCTTAATTAAAGCCTTTAGGATACACACTCTCTCACACACACACACTTCTAAAATAGGCCATTAAGGATTCCATTTAATGTTCATAACAGGATTAGTTTGTTATCCTTTTGGCATCAGCAGTGTCAGGCGATGGTGCTGCTGGCACCCTCTATACTCCCCTTCCCTCACCACCCCGACAGCATTTCATGCGATTTTACTCAATTTTATGAAATTTCCTGCGATAGGAAAACGGATACATAGCGCAGTAATATGCGATAACAGCAGCAACAAAAACAACAACACGGTGAACCCGTCAGCAATGCCACCATATCAGCCAACCAGCCAGTCACCCAGCATCCTCTTCCTTCAATATTGAAAAAAAAAACAACAACATTATTCTGTACCGGATCGATTGAACACGGCGGATGTAACACCAGTAAATATAAATTGACACATTTGACACCCAACAGCCATTTCCATTAGCATCGGAGGACACCTAACCCAACCATTTCACCTAGGCCTGTTCGGTGGCGTTCATTCATTCATTTCGTTCGTTTGTTCTTGAGTAATTTGGAATATCAAAAGCTTTGCCACATCCACAGCCATTCGGTGCGATAAAAATGAGCCCTTTGGCTCATAGCAAATAGCGTAAGCCAGTCGACAAACCAGCTAGGCCATGGCATGCCCGGCTAGACCACGGACGCTATGTTTGTGTGTTACGTGGCCTATGGCATGGCATTGCTGGCAAATTATGCGCATTATTATGAAGTGAAAGTGGATTAAAGCTTGACATAAATAGAAATAATGACATGATAGACAACAATCGCATCGGGATTAGTTACTGGCAGAAAAAAAGGGATATTTATGAAGAGGTTAGGGATGATGGCTCTACAATCCTACTTAATAAAAATATTGAAGTTTGAGTTTAATTTAAATGGGTTTAGTCATGGATATTGAAGAAAATTTATACAAGGAGTAGCAGGACAATAGGCGTGGATTTTTAAAGAATATTTCTCCTGGGATCATAAGGACAATAGGCGTGGATTTTTAAAGAATATTTCTCCTGGGATCCTAAGGACAATAGGCGTGGATTTTTAAAGAATATTTCTCCTAGGATCATAAGGACAATAGGCGTGGATTTTTAAAGAATATTTCTCCTAGGATCATAAGGACAATAGGCGTGGATTTTTAAAGAATATTTCTCCTAGGATCATAAGGACAATAGGCGTGGATTTTTAAAGAATATTTCTCCTGGGATCATAAGGACAATAGGCGTGGATTTTTAAAGAATATTTCTCCTGCGATCATAAGGACAATAGGCGTGGATTTTTAAAGAATATTTCTCCTGCGATCATAAGGACAATAGGCGTGGATTTTTAAAGAATATTTCTCCTGCGATCATAAGGACAATAGGCGTGGATTTTTAAAGAATATTTCTCCTGCGATCATAAGGACAATAGGCGTGGATTTTTAAAGAATATTTCTCCTGCGATCATAAGGACAATAGGCGTGGATTTTTAAAGGATATTTCAAAGATATTTCAATAAGGACCAGCAGGACATTAGGCGTGGACTTTTAAAAGATATTTCAATAAGGACCAGCAGGACATTAGGCGTGGATTTTTAAAAGATATTTCAATAAGGACCAGCAGGACATTAGGGGTGGATTTTTAAAAGATATTTCAACAAGGACCAGCAGAACAATAGGCGTGGAATTTTAAAAGATATTTCAATAAGGACCAGCAAGACATTAGGCGTGGATTTTTAAAGGATATTTCAATAAGGACCAGCAAGACATTAGGCGTGGATTTTTAAAAGATATTTCAATAAGGACCAGCAAGACATTAGGCGTGGATTTTTAAAAGATATTTTTTGAGAGAATATCTGAACTATAGGCGTGGATTTTTAAAAGATATTTTTTGAGGGAATATCTGAACTATAGGCGTGGATTTTTAAAAGATATTTCAATAAGGACCAGCAGGACATTAGGCGTGGATTTTTAAAAGATATTTCAATAAGGACCAGCAGGACATTAGGCGTGGATTTTTAAAAGATATTTCAATAAGGACCAGCAGTATATTTAAATGATATTTCAACAAGGACCAACAAGATATTTAAAGGATTTTTCAACAAGGACCAGCTGGATATTTAAAGGATATTTCAACAAGGACCAGCAGCATAATTGAGGTTTAGTTTTTAAAGGATTTTTCAACAAGGACCAGCTGGATATTTAAAAGATATTTCAACAAGGACCAGCAGCATAATTGAGGTTTAGTTTTTAAAGGATATTTCAACAGGGACCAGCAGGATGTGAGAACCAGCAGGATAATATACGTGGATTTTTAAAGAATATTTCTACAAGGTCTAGCAGGACAAAAAGCGTTTTTTAAGAAGGAGTGGATTTTTAAAGAATATTTCTTCAAGGTCCAGCAGAACAATAGACGTGTTTTTTATTTCTACAAATACGCCAAGGCTTGGATTGTTTAAATATATATATTTTTTTTCAACGGATTGGTTGGATTTTTTAATTTTTTTTCTCAAAGGACCTCCACAAGACGTGGATTTTGAAAAATATTTTTTCCCAAGTCCCTAAGGCTTTTGCAAGGCACCTTTATAATATTTTTCCAAAGTCTCCAAGTCATGGATTTTTCCATTAAAGGCCTTAATTTTGTAAAGGATATGTTTTTCAGAGCCTTCAAAATCTGAATTTTTTAAAGAAACAAATTTTCAATAATTTGAATTTTTTCCAAAGTTTCTTAGGCGTGCATTTATTAAAGATTATTTTTTCGTGGATTTTTTAAGGAATATTTTTCCAAGGTGTCCAAGACGAGGATTTTTAAAGAAAAAATTTCGAAATTCTTCAAGGATTTTAATTTGTTCAAAAATATTTTTCCAAAGACTTAATTTTTTTACGAAAATGTTTTCCTGCTGGTCTCCTAATTTCTGTCATTACTCGCCTTTTATTACGGATTCCTCCTCATTTTTCCAACCTCCTTCCGCTACCACCCTAACCATATAAATTATAATGAAATTATATGAGAACAACTAACAAATTATAGCCAACCTGAATGTCTTTAAGTTCTGCCTCCACCATTTCTTCTTCTACGACAACAGCTGACTATAAAAAAAGCGGCAACAACAACAACATTCCCTGTTCGCTTAATTTCACCGTGCCGTGTAAGGCAATAAATTGTCTTTTCTGCACTTTTGCACATAAATAAAAATGGAAATTAATTTTTTTTTAAAGCTGCAGAACAAAAAAAATTAATTCGGACTACTTAAAAATGTATTGCATGAACATTTTGTTCAAGGTCTATATGAGATGTGCAGATTTTAAATAACTTTTTCAGGGTCTATGTGAGACGTGGATTTTTTAGATAATATTTTTTCAGGGTCTATATGAGGTGCGGAAATTTTAAATAAAATTATTCAAGGACTATATGGTTTATTCAGATTTAAAATAACATTTTCTCAGGGGTATATATGAGTCGTGAATATGTTAAATATTTTTTCATAATATTATGTCACAAATTTGTTACTTGTTCAGATTTTTATGCTCAATATTAATACAAACTTTTTTAATTTTTTTCTCTTCTTCCTCCTCCCCCTGGGGCTTTCCTGTTTTTTTCTCTCTTCCCCCCACCCCATTTAATAGCAACATGGTATTGGAAAAATGGCACGAAGAATATGTGCAACTGCGTGACATTATTGATAAATGCCTTTTGCGTATGCTTCGCAATGGTGCGATAGGCGGAGGAGCAGGAGGAAATGCAGCAGCAGCAACAACAACAACGCCACTCACAGCCGATATGCAACAACATTTACAAAAGTTAAGGCAAACACAAATGGAACAGGAAGTGTTAAAAGCATTGGGTAAGTAAATTGTGCCACATGAAACAACCATACCTACCTCCACCCACATGCTAGCAATCATCCAGGCCACCTTGTTTTTCCCCCAGTGAGCCTATTAGTCACCTCCGCCCCATTCCATATATAAAGTTATAAACTTTAAATGGCCATTAAATGGGAAAGACAAGCAACCATTCATTTATTCATTAAAATCGATGCATGAAAGGATGAATGGATGGTTGGTTGGTCTGTCGGTTGGTACGATGGTTGGGCATGCTAGTCCTTGAATTGATGTCGCATTGATGTCCTTTTTTTATTATTTCATTCAAATAATTTAATCAATTTATTTTTCTCTCCCTTTCTTCCTCTCTGTTTGCTCCCTCCTACCTTGGCATTCACATCCAACAACATCTTAATTAATTGCGATTGTTTGTTCTCTTCATTATCATCGCATTCGAAACAGATTTGTCAAATGAAAAAATATTGGCCGTCTATCGGGAATGGTCATCGACTCAATTGTCGGTCAAGGATGCCGAGAGTGCGGAACGTTTGAGTAAACTTAAAGATCAGCTGACAATGAATTTATCGACAGATAATTATACAACATTGGTGTAAGTATAAATTAATTTTAAAGGGTAATCGGGATCAGACCTTTTTTTCTAGGTCTATAAAGAAGATTTTTGGGGGACTATAAGAGGCGTGGATTTATTAAAGAATAGTTTTTCAAGGACTATAAGAGGCGTGGATTTATTAAAGAATAGTTTTTCAAGGACTATAAGAGGCGTGGATTTATTAAAGAATAGTTTTTCAAGGACTATAAGAGGCGTGGATTTATTAAAGAATAGTTTTTCAAGGACTATAAGAGGCGTGGATTTATTAAAGAATAGTTTTTCAAGGACTATAAGAGGCGTGGATTTATTAAAGAATAGTTTTTCAAGGACTATAAGAGGCGTGGATTTATTAAAGAATAGTTTTTCAAGGACTATAAGAGGCGTGGATTTATTAAAGAATAGTTTTTCAAGGACTATAAGAGGCGTGGATTTATTAAAGAATAGTTTTTCAAGGACTATAAGAGGCGTGGATTTATTAAAGAATAGTTTTTCAAGGACTATAAGAGGCGTGGATTTATTAAAGAATAGTTTTTCAAGGACTATAAAAGGCGTGGATTTATTAAAGAATAGTTTTTCAAGGACTATAAGAGGCGTGGATTTATTAAAGAATAGTTTTTCAAGGACTATAAGAGGCGTGGATTTATTAAAGAATAGTTTTTCAAGGACTATAAGAGGCGTGGATTTATTAAAGAATAGTTTTTCAAGGACTATAAGAGGCGTGGATTTATTAAAGAATAGTTTTTCAAGGACTATAAGAGTCCCAGGGTCCGTGGATTTTTAAGGAATACTTTTCCGGGATCCGTATGAGGCGTGGATTTTTAAGGAATACTTTTCCGGGGTCCGTATGAGGTGTGGATTTTTAAGGAATACTTTCCGGGGTCCGTATGAGGCTTGGATTTTTAAGGAATACTTTTCCGGGGTCCGTATGAGGCGTGGATTTTTAAGGAATACTTTTCCGGGGTCCGTATGAGGCGTGGATTTTTAAGAATAGGCGTATGAGGCGTGGATTTTTAAGGTCTCTATGAGGCGTGGATTTTTAAGGTCTCTATGAGGCGTGGATTTTTAAGGAATATTTTTTTCAGGGTCCCCATGAGGAGTGGTGTTTTAATGAATATTTTTAGAGGCTGGATTTTTAAGAAATTTTTTATCATGTTCTTAATACGTCTTCCTTTTCTTCTTCCCCAGAGTACCTGGTAATTGTTGTGATACTGGCATTGATCCCGACATTGAAGAGCACGAAACCTATTTGAGTAAATTTAAGAATAAAGTCTTCGATAAGCTGCGACATCTGATTGAGGAGCACATCGCCAATGATCCGGATGTTATAAAGGGGCGAAAAAAGACTGTACAGGTAAGTAGGTGTTGAAAAGCCCTTCACAGCAAACAGTTTCACTAGTCTGGAACAAAAAAATTATCCCTTAAATGTCCTCTATGGTGGGCTATCAATCATAAAGTAACCTGTCAATGGAAAGAGAGCTTTGAGGAGAATATAAATCTCAGTTGATGATTTCGTAACCCACCTGTGCACAAATCATAGTCATAGTATGGGAAATATTACTTTCCACTGGTAACCAAGAAAAAAATGAAAAAAATATGTGGCCAAAAAGTTTGTCCAGTTTTGGGTATATACGAAAAAAGTGCAGGAGGAAAAAATAAAAAAAATCCTGCCCCAAATGTATGTCCATCAGTGTTTTGTTTTAGCCACCATCAACAACTAGCCAACATTGTATTGGATTGTGATATCCATTTTTGGGTTATTTGGTTGCAGATGGGGAAAAACCATTACCTTTTTTGTGTTTCAATGTGTGAGTGGGTGTTCCGCAACAAACATTTTGCCTCAATGTATTGGATTTTTCGTTCCAATTTTTTTGCTGGAGGACGTGGCAAACATTTTGGGTTTTTTCTCGTTCACCATTTCATTTGAAAATAGCTCGTACAACACCAGTAATGGAGGTGATTTGAGGTTATTTGGTTGGTTAGCCGGCTAGCTGGTTGGTTGGCTGCAACGTTGCAATGTCTATTTGCATGCAACATTTGCCACAATTCGAAAAGTAAGTTTGCGGTAAAGGTTGTTGTTTTTGTATTCAATGCTTGGAAATATTGCATGCGAAATTTTCATATAGGAGAAAAGACTGGGGTTTTGAAAAATTAAATTAAAAAAATATTGTGGAAATACATATTCGAGTTTTGTTGTAGTTGCGATGGTAGATTCAACTGCATGTTCACTCATATCGGAATATGTAAACTGCAAGGCCACCACATTCAATCAGTCATTCCAAAGGCTTTCAGCTGTTGAAAACTTTAAATGTTCAGTTCAATTTATTAACGATGATTGATTGCCATCAAATAAATTTGCCGTGGCGTGGAATTATTAAAAAATATTTTTTGCAAGGACTATAAGAGGCGTGGATTTATTAAAGAATATTTTCAGCGCCCTCTTGAAGGCGTGGATTCATTAAAGACTATTTTTGTAGGCCTTAGAAGAGGCGTGGATTCATTAAAGAATATTTTTGTAGGCCTTAGAAGAGGCGTGGATTTATTAAAGAATATTTTTGTAGGCCAACTGAGGCGTGGATTTATTAAAGAATATTTTTCAAGGGCCAACTGAGGCGTGGATTTATTAAGGAATATTTTTCAAGGCCTTACAAGAGGCGTGGATTTATTAAAGAATATTTTTGTAGGCCTTAGAAGAGGCGTGGATTCATTAAAGAATATTTTTGTAGGCCTTACAAGAGGCGTGGATTTATTAAAGAATATTTTTGTAGGCCTTACAAGAGGCGTGGATTTATTAAAGAATATTTTTGTAGGCCTTAGAAGAGGCGTGGATTTATTAAAGAATATTTTTGTAGGCCTTACAAGAGGCGTGGATTCATTAAAGAATATTTTTGTAGGCCTTAGAAGAGGCGTGGATTTATTAAAGAATATTTTTCAAGGGCCAACTGAGCCGTGGATTTATTAAAGAATATTTTTCAAGGGCCAACTGAGTCGTGGATTTATTAAAGAATATTTTTCTAGGGCCAACTGAGGCGTGGATTTATTAAAGAATATTTTTGTACGCCTTAGAAGAGGCGTGGATTTATTAAAGAATATTTTTGTACGCCTTAGAAGAGGCGTGGATTTATTAAAGAATATTTTTGTAGGCCTTAGAAGAGGCGTGGATTTATTAAAGAATATTTTTGTAGGCCTTAGAAGAGGCGTGGATTTATTAAAGAATATTTTTGTAGGACCTACACAAGGCGTGGATTTATTAAAGAATATTTTTGTAGGACCTACACAAGGCGTGGATTTATTAAAGAATATTTTTGTAGGACCTACACAAGGCGTGGATTTATTAAAGAATATTTTTCAATGGCCAAAAGAGGCGTGGATTTATTAAAGAATATTTTTGTAGGGCAATCTGAGGCGTGGATTTATTAAAGAATATTTTTGTAGGCCTTAGAAGAGGCGTGGATTTATTAAAGAATATTTTTGTAGGCCTTAGAAGAGGCGTGGATTTATTAAAGAATATTTTTGTAGGCCTTAGAAGAGGCATAATAGTTATAGTTATGGGCAAAATAGTTATATTGGTGCATTAAATCCTTTTGCTGTGAATTAATCTCCAAATCCAATTTTTCTTCTCTTTTTTTCAAATAAAAAATACACCATTCTAATCCTTTTATATTAAAATGCACTCAAAATAATATTCTTCTAAACTTGTATGGCGTATTTACTTTATAAGTTTATAATGAATTTATATTTCATGCCTATTCGTCTGTTACATGGGGAGGGGCAGGTGATTCCATTGCGAATGCAGGTTTTTATACCCTTCATCACACTGTGGTACAGGGTATTATGTCTTTTTGTATATGTTTGTAACAGGCAAAAGGAAACGAGATAGACACAGGGTTCCTTTTGAGTATATGCATAGAATCACTTTTTAAGTCGATTTATGCATGTCCGTCGGTCTGTCTGTCTGTCCATGCTAAATTGTAAACAAAGTACAGGTCGCATTTATAATCCGAATTGGATGAAATTTGGCACAGGTCACTTATTCTGCCCAAGGACGAACCCTATTGAAATTGGGAAAAATTCGGTTCAGATTTAGATATAGCTCCCATATATATTTTCGTCCGATTTTTTGGTAAATAGTGCACCAAAATCCCTATATACCCTTCGATCTGCACGAAATTTGTCATAGCGTACTGAATTGAGTCTATAGTGATGTGTGTTAAGTTTCGTGAAAATCGGTTCAGATTTAGAAATATCTCCCATATATATTTTCTTCCGATTTTAGGTAAATAGTGCACCAAAGTCCCTATATATCTTTCGATTTGCACGAAATTTGGCATAGCGTACTGAATTAAGTCTAGAACGATGAGTGTTAAGATTCGTGAAAATCGATTTAGATTTAGATATAGCTCCCATATATATTTTCGTCCGATTTTAGGTAAATAGTGCACCAAAGTCCCTATATATCCTTCGATTTGCACGAAATTTGACACAGCGTACTGAATTGAGTCTAGAACGATGAGTGTTAAGATTCGTGAAAAACGGTTCAGATTTAGATATAGCTCCCATATATATTTTTGTCCGATTTTAGGTAAATAGTGCACCAAAGTCCCTATATATCCTTCGATTTGCACGAAATTTGCAACAGCGTACTGAATTGTGTTTAAAATGATGTGTGTTACATTTCGTGAAAATCGAGCTATATCAGATTTAGATATAGCTCCAATAAATCGGTGTAGATTTAGATATAGCTCCCATATATATTTTCGTCCGATTTTATGTAAATGGTTCACCAAAGTCCCTATATATCTTTCGATTTGCACGAAATTTGGCATAGCGTACTGAATTAAGTCTAGAACGATGTGTGTTACATTTCATGAAAATCGGTTCAGATTTTGACATAGCTCCCATATATTTTCTTCCAATTTTAGCTTAATAGTGCACCAAATTCCCTTTATATCCTTCGATGTGCACGAAATTTGGCACAGCGTACTGAATTGAGTCTAGAACGATGAGTGTTAAGATTCGTGAACATCGGTGCAGATTTGGACATAGCTCCCATATATATTTTCGTCAGATTTTAGGTAGGCACCAAAGTCTCTACATATTCTTGGATGTGCACGAAATTTGTCATAACGTACTGAATTGTGTTTAGAATGGTGTGTGGTAAATTTGGGATCGGTTCAGATTTCTATGTGGCTCTCACATATTCATATATATTCGTCCGATTTTACATCATAGATTATCATAGGTTGTAGAAAGACATGCATATGTTCCTTCGAGGCAACATTGACATGCAAATGTAAGGATACATATGCGCAATATACCCAAAGTGGTGAAGGGTATCATATAGTCGATCCGACTTTTTTACTTTCCTTACTGGTTTCATTTCTTCCTCTTCTCCATCGACGAGTTTTAGTTGCTTTGCAAATAAGAACTGAGCAATGATAACCTTGATGCTGGTTGGCAAACTAGATTTAATAGCAGCAAGATTTTGTTGAACAGGACAAAAAGATGCTTTGCATGCTGCCTATGCATATTTTTTTCAAGGACATTTTTTTCTCATATAGACTAAATGGAATTTAGAATTAGAGAAATGTTTGAACATTTTTTTTTTGCTTAGTTATATAGAATAATTTGAAGCATTACTAGGAAGGTAAATTCTCGAGGATATTAAAGATATAATTTTTTTCTTTTTAATTATGTAAAGGTATAATGTGATGCACAACTAAAAGGACTGAGCCTTCCCAATTTTCTTGGAATTGAACAAAATATAACTTGACTTTCGAATCCAATGTAATTTTTTGAGATTTGTAAAGAAACTTTTTTTAATGTGCATTACAAAAAAATACGATTCCTTTTGAATACACAAGTCTAACTAAAACTACAAAAAAATCAATATGAGAATTTAAAATAAACCGCAGGATTAATAGGACACACTAAACCGCCATAGGTATATCTTTTTCCATCTAAACTTAATTAACATTTCAAATTGCCGTTTTTAATTAA